TGAGGTGCATTGGCCAGGAATTGAACTCAGTCTTCTTTATGGGAGGCAAGAATTCTACCACTGAACCACCACTGTCCCGTAAGAACTAGAAGAAAGGCCTGGTGATCTACTTCTGAAAAATCAGCCAATGAAAACCTTAAGAATCACAATAGACTAAATATAACCCATCACTGGGATGCAAAACTGAGCAGCATTTTGTTCCACTGTGCATGGGGTCACTGAGTCTGGGGTCGACTCAATGGCAGCTAACAATAACAAAGTGGAAATAACATCTGCCCAACTTCATACGGGTTGTGTGCAAAACGAAATCCGACAAAGTTTGAGAAAATGTTTCACAAACTATAAAACATGATACAACTGTGAAGGCGGAAACCCATCAGAGAAGGAAAACACGGATATCTTCTGTTAAATAGAAAACAGAAAAGCAGTGACTGCACCCTGTCTAAGGTGGAAAACTTGCGAGACCCAGAAAAACAAGGCAGTCCCGTTGAGTCTGGCTCTCACTGCTTTCACTGTTGTTGTTCTTGTGTGTTGTCAAGTCGATTCCAACTCTCCAGGGGGAAAAACGTTGCAAAGAGCTATTAAGACTAAAAGCCTATTTCAGAAAGTAAAGCAAGAGGCAGGAAAACAAACACCAGGGTAGAACTGTGTTCCATAGGGTTTTCAGTGATTGATTTTTTAGAAGTAGATGGCTAGGCCTTTCTTCCAATGCACCTCTGGGTGGACACAAACCTCCAGCCTTTCAGTTAGCAGCCGAGCATGTTAACCATTGGTACCACCCAGGGTCTCCCAGCTGGCCATGTTGTTGTTGTTAGTTGCCATCGACTCAGTTCCAGCTAACAGCAACCTCCTATGTGCAGAGTAGTACTGTGCTTCATAGGGTCTTCGAGGCTGTGACCTTTTGGAAGCAGATCACCAAGCCTGTCTTCTGAGGCACCTCTGGGTGGGTTTGAACTGCCAACCTTTCAGTTAGTAGTTGAGCACTTAACTATCTGTGCCACCCAGGGATTCCTAAGTTAGCCCCATTGTTGTTGTTGGGTGCTGTCGAATCGCTTTTCGACTCATGTTGGGTTGTTGTTAGGTGCCGCTGAGTTGGTTCCGACTCACAGCAACCCTATGTACTACAGAACGAAACACTGCCCGGTCCTGCGCCATGCTCACCATCATCGTCATGCTTGGGCCCATTGTTGCAGCCACTGTGTCAACTGTCTTTTGAGTGCCTTTCAACCCGGGGGGCTCATCTTCCGGCACTTTATCAACGCTCCGCTGCTATTCACGAGGTTTTCACGGGTAAGTCTTTTCAGAAGTAGACTGCTGGGTCCTTCTTCCTAGTTTGTCTTAGTCTGGAAGCTCGGCTGAAACCTGTCCGCCATGGGTGACCCTGCTGGTATCTGAATACTGGTGGCACAGCTTCCAGCATCACAGCGACACGCAAGCCCCCACAGTATGAAAAACTGACAGTTACCCAACAGTGTAGGTTTTAAACAGTGTAGGTTAAACAAGTATAGGCTAAACAACCGATTTGGCAAATGTACAACCTCTTGGTGAGAGATGAGGCAGAGTCTGGAGGAACTTCTAAGTGAGGTCTCCCTGTACTCGACAGAGCCAAGCCAGACAGAGCCTGGCAGACAGGACACCAGGCTGTGACCCACACTCGGGTTTTCCCAGTTCAAGGGAGGAGAAAAGACTAACCTGGTCACGTCACTGGATAAGGCCTGGACAGGCGCACGGAGATGACTTGGGAAATGTATTATTGGAAACAGAGGTTATTTTTGACCCTTGGGAGGACCGTAGGAGGGCATCCAAAATGGAAGCCAGCCCAGGAGATTGGGAAAGAAGTGAGGTGGACAGAGGAGGCCAGCGCAGTCAGGGTGGGGGTGGGGGCTGCAGCTGGTCTTTGATGGGTTTTAGAGTGTGAGGCGGGGAGAACGGCAGGGACGGGGGAGGATGTGAGCAAGCTTGGCTGTGCCGTGACAGAAAAGGCTGAGTCACGGGCTTGCACAGAATCCTGTGCCAGCTGGAGGAGAGGCTGCGGTCAGCATCTCCTCAGGGGGGGTCAGTGTCTCCTCTCTCAGGGAAGGGCAAAGGCAAACACCACTCCCCGGGGGAGAGGCCCAGCTGGGAGGAGCCCTTGTACTGATGTAGTGTTTTCTGTTTGCTCTTGAGAAAAGTTGTTACATCTGGGCAACATGAGACCCAGACAATCCTGCCCGTGGAAGGATGAGAGGAATACTGAAGGGAAACTGAGAGAAGAGAGTGTCTGAACCAGGGAAAATAAAACATGTTCCCTTCTCCTCTTCCCATTCTGCCAAAGGGCTGGGGGAGTGGAGAGAAACTCTCTGTACTGACTCCCTTTCTAATTCCTAGCCTAAATTTATTTTTCATTTTGTTTCACATGATAGGAACATGATGTCATTTTTTCTGTTACTGATCACATTAGCAAACATAAGCTACTGCCAATTCACAAAAAAATGATTTCCTTGGGGTCAGTGGGCCAGACGGGCTCCAGCCCCACCGCCTGCACTTTGATTGCCCTCACGGCCTGTCAGCATTCTCTTCAACCCGGCCAGCCACTTCTCTGAGCTCAGAGGTCACCAGGGATGGAGGCGCCTTACTGTAGCACAGACTGACTGTGAATTTAGGTCCTGGCACCTCCACGCAGTTAACTGTGTAACCGTAGTCAATGCCTGACCTCTCTGTGCCTCAGTTTCCTCATCATTTAACGAGGATACGGTTCCAACTTCCCAGGGCTGTTGTGAGGGTTGTGTGAGATTGGGGCGCTCGTGCAGTGCATCATATTCAACTCTGTAAAAGACTGAGCATCTCCTATGTGACAGGTACTGTCCCAGGAGCTGGGGGAGCAATGGTCAAGCAGCCAGGTCCAGCCTGCAAAGGGCTGCATCCTATGCGGGAAAGAGGCAATACAAAGTTGCTGAGACAGAACTGTGAGCAATGTGGGTGGTGTAGAGAGCATGGGCTCTGGAGTCATACTGCTTAGCAGCAGATTGGGCTGCGTTGCTTTGAGCAAGTTACTTAACCTCTCTGTGTTTCAATGTTCTCATCTCTAAAGAAGGACAGAACAATATCTACCCGACCGTGTTGTGAGGATTAAAGAAGTCATTTATTTAAGCAACCCTTGGCCCAAAAACCAGAACAGGTGCCATCAAGTTGATTCTGACTCATGGCGACTCTATATGTTTTAGAGTAGAACTATGCTGCACAGGTTTTCAATGGCTGATTTTTCAAAAGAAGATCACCAGGCCTTTCTTCCCAGGCACCTCTAGGTAGATTCAAATCTCCAACCTTTCACTTAGTAGCCAAGCATTTAACTGTCTGTGCCAACCAGGGACTCCTAATGCCTGGCCCAAGGTAAAGGTAAAATGTTAGCTTTAAATAATGATGAGAATAATCCATGTGGTAAGTATCGTGGGAGCAAGAGGATGAGGTGGGATAGAAGTACATAGCACAGGCACCCATTTCAGTCTAGAGGCAGGGGAAGAGGCTATGGTCAGGAACAGTTTCTCAGTAACGACATTTAAGCTTAGACGTAAAGAGTTCTTGTGGTTAACTGCCGTCGAGTCGTTTCCGACTCATTGCGACCCCGTGTGTGCCAAGTAGAACTGTGTTCCATAGGGTTTTCAAGGCTGTGACCTTTCAGAAGCAGACGGCCAGAGCTGTCTTTCAAGGCACCTCTGTGTGGGTTTGAACTACCAACCTTTCAGCTAGTAGTGAGAACTCAAGTTATTTGTGCCACCCAGGCCTAAAGAGAACCATTTATGAAATCAGCCTTTAAAGTTTGCTGTGTGGCTGGACAAAAACAGACTCAATTCTGGCTCATTCAATTCACCACCTCATATTTTGGGGAAAAGTCCTCCATCCTGGCTGCTGAGCTGCAGGAACCCTGCAAAGAGCTGGGCCACTGCAGGGCCCTAGAGCACTGACAGTGGGCCCTAGGAAGCCCATGGCGGCGGCAGTCACCAGGATGTGCGTCTCTGAAGGAGGGCCGTATGCTCTCAGAGCTGCAGGCCAAGCTCACTCCATACCAGACCAGCTGGGTTCCCCAGGAGCCCTGCCACCAGCAGAGACAGAGGCCCTTCTGAGTGGCAGCAGGCAAAAGAAAATCCACCAGCCCCTCTACCCCATACATGGCTGCTGACAACCCATCAGAAAAGGCATGAGTCCCATGGGCTTTTACACATCATAACCAAACCAAACCAGATGCCATGGGGTCAGTTTGGACTCAAGGTGAACTACTGTGTGCAGAGTAGAACTGCACTCCACAGGGTTTTCAAGGCTGTGACCTTTCGGAAACAGATCGCCAGGCCCTTCTTCCCAAGTGCTTCTGGGTAGGTTCAAACTGCCAAACTTTTGGTTAGTGGTTGAGTGCTCAACCGTTTGCATCACCCGGGGATTCCTTTATACGTCGTAATTACGTCCTAATTCAACAAGGTCTTCATTGTGGCAACTGCAAGTGTGTCCAATACGTCGTTTCCACCTTAGGGTTTTTCAAACCGTTCAACAGACAAGGCTGCCCAGTTTCCAAAATTAAATCAGCCAAGGTGCATACACAAGCTGCTTTCTACAATTTTTGTAATAAATTCCATTTGAAAGCAGTAAAGATGTGGGAGTGGCTCCTGTAATTAAACGAAGCCTCGGTTTTAAAGACTTGTATGTCTCCCAGGATGTTCCTTCAGTGGACTATAAAAATCTCCTATCAATATTTGAATTACTGAACTGAAGCACAGATATGACTGTAGCCTTAATGAACGCCACTCTCCATGCCAAGCAGGGTTAACAAGCTGCCCAGTGAAAATATTGAGAATTTTATATACTTGAAGAAGACATTTGTGATTACTCTGGGGCTTTTTTAATTAAATGTCACAGTAGCAAATTTTGATTGCTAAAACTAAAGGCAGATCACTAAATAACTTGGACAGTCTCTTCAGCTTTTCCAAGTGAGTGAAACTTTAGCTTTCATTTCAAGTCAATAATGCACTTACCAAGGTCGATAAGAATTGCATGCTGGTGGGAGGTCAGCTGTTTTAGGAGTTCTTTGTATGGCATGTCCTTGGGCTGCTGTTTACTGGGAAACTGGTGTCTAAGGTGGTATTGCTCTGCTAGGAATTTCCAGATTTCACCCCGGTGATGACGTGGTACACCTTTAAAAAGGGAAGTAGAAAATAGAAAGAGTGACTTTTAGCACAGAATGGAGTCCCCAGGTGGTGCAAATGGTTAACCCACTCAGCTGCTAACTGAAAGGTTGGTGGTTCAAGTCCCCCCAGAGGCTCCTTGGAAGAAAGTCCTGGCAATCTACTTCTGAAAAATCAGCCATTGAAAACCCTATGGAGCACAGTTCTACTCTGAAACACATGGGGTCACCATGAGTCAGAATCAACTTGACTGCAAGTTACTGATATGTACAGAATTTAAAAAAAAAAACCTGTTGCCGTCGAGTTGATTCTGACTCACAGCAATCCTGTACAGAATACAACTTATTAATAAAAATGAATTGCATGGCACTCCATTGATCCAAATTCTTGTTCTATTATGAATTAATGGCACAGGAATGGAAAAGATGCTACCAAAATTTGTCACATGTGCTGCCTGCCTTCCTTCTTTCCTCCCTTCCTTCCTCCCTGCAGTCAGTCTTCTCTAACTTGCCCTTCCATTTTTCAAGTACATACTGTGTTCTGTGTTAGGCTTTGTAAGGAATAAACCAATAAATAACACACAAGTCCCCAACTTTTGTCGACTGTAAGTTCTCGAGAAATGAGATCAAGGATGAAAAACTGTAATACAAAATGTGATAAATGTCACAAGAGGGATTAATCAAAGTGAGGCAGAGTGCAGAGGAAAGACAGCTAGCTCATTTCTAACTGAGCGATCATGAAGATTTCACAGAATCCTTCATTTAGGATAGGGGAGAGGCAATATACAAGACAAGCCAAAGTAAAGCGACTGTAAGCATTTCAGTTTGCCTTGAGCATAGCGTACATGTGGGGAGGGAACAGTTAGCAATAAGGCTGGGATGGTTTTGTTATAAGCAAAATTGAAGGCTTGCACTTTATTTGGTAGCCGTAGGAAATGAATGAGTGTTTCTGAGCTGGGAAGGGAATGGCCTGATCAAAGCTGAGACTCTGGAATATAAAGTTTCCTGCAGGGCGGGCTGGAGGAAGGGACCAGAGGCTGGATAGGCAGTCCTCTGCATAAACATGCCTGGTGGGTATTCAATGAAGACCCCCAAACAAGAAAAACGATCCAAGTGTCTCTACCTAATGTTTTTAAATAAATTAACTTGAATACGCAAAGTGATTACAAATGTTGTCTAAAACTAAGAAAGTTCTCTTAAAGTTAAAAGTGACAGCTTTGAATCAAAATTCATTTGTTCATTATTCAGCCGTTACAAGGCCCAGATGTAGAACTGGGGAGAGAAAGAAGACTACACAATAGGACACGGAAACTTTCTCACGTCTGACAGAAGTTCTCTTGGGAGAAAAGAAACTTTTGAATTAGGGATTCGTCTTCCTTCCCAGCCAGAAAAAAAAGTGATCGCTTTGTATATTCCCTGCCGCTCAGAAAGCCTGCACAGGAAAACAGGTTTTCTATTTCCCATTGGCCATCTTCAAGAGAAGTTTCTACTCTGACAAGTCAGTAACAGCAGCAGCTAACATTTGCTGTGAGGTCACTCTATACGAGGCACTAGCTAACCACTTCACAGGTATTAGCCCATATCATCCTCACAGCCTTCTCAGGGAAATATGATTATTCTCACAGTAAAGATGAGTACAGAGGATCCACCACAGAAAACAAACCCCTTGACCAAGATCCTCTCTGCCCAGCTGGTTAGTGGTAGCCCAAGTAAATGCCTTTGCTTTTCTCTTGACATCCTTCCTGTCAGACAATGCGGCTACTCAGATGGGTACTGGAGAAAAAATATCTTATGTTCCGATCTAGCAATGAATAATAAAACTATCACTTGTGGATTTAAACCAAGTGGCAGTCAATTTCATTTTCAGATCCACAAGGAACTATTTAAAAAGCATCATGCAGCCACCTTTTGGAAATGTGTAAGGTGTAGTAAGTACCTTGTTTTTCCCTTATATATACACCAGTTGTTTAAAAAAAAAAAAAGTTAGCCTGTGGAGAGAGATACAGGACCACACTTAACCCCGACCACATCCCTTGCCTTCTCTAAATGTTTATCTCAACATTCATCTGATGACCCTGTGCTGTGCGTTGAATGGTGGTCCCCAAAAAGATATGTTCATGTCCTTGTCCCCGGAAACGATAATGTGACCTTATTTGGAAAACAGGTCTTTGCAGATGTAAATAAGGATCCTGAGATAAGAAGATCATCCTGGATTATCTAACTGGGCCCTAAATCCAGTGGAGGAGGCAATGTGATCACAAAGGCAGACACTGGAATAACGTGGCCACAAGTAAAGGAACGCCCATAGCCACCAGAAGCTGGAAGAGGCAAGAGACAGACTGTCTCCTAGAGCCTTTGGAAGGAGAACTGCCCTGGTGACACCTTGATTTCAGACTACTGGCCTCCAGAACTGGGAGAGAATAAATTTCTGTTGTTTTAAGCCACCCAGTTTGTGGTAATTTGTTATGGCAGTAACAAGAAATGAATATACCCTAATATCTGCTTTTTAATATTACCCTGTTCCTTCTTGCCCTTTCTACTATTCCTGCTTAGAGATATATACTACGTATGTGTGTTCACAGCCACATACATCCTTAATACTTCATCTTAGTTCCTCAAACTCTGATTAGAAGTTAAATGTTGGCTAAGAAACAATCAGCATGTTAAGTGATTTATAGTGGGGCTTTTTAAAAAACTTTTTTTTTGAAGTGGAAAATTTTTCCAAATCACAAGATGTTCAATTTCCTCTTATTACTAAATCATTCCCGTTATCTTATCAGACCTTTATTTTTTGGAGCAAAGGGATACTGGCTGTGTCATTGGACAGTACCACATAGTCTGGTATTTAAGAGTAAGCTTGGAGTTTCAGAGTTAAAAACAAAGACTCATTCAAATCAGAGCCAATGGTTTTTGCTAAGAAAGGCCTGGAACATCCTTTCCAATGCTCTGCTGTGCCTTCACTCCTCATCCAAGAGAGAAAGCTTGCCATGGAGTCCTTACCCAGGCAGGGCAGGGTTCTGGCTGGGCAGCACGCCGTTTTGCCACAAAACGTAAGGAGCTTTTTACTTTAACTGACTTTAAAAGTAACATATGCTCACTATTAAAAACAAACAAAAACTGAAAATGCAAAAGGTATAAAGAAGAAAATGGAAAATCATCCATCATTAAAGTGCACATATAATTTACCCTCCGCAGCAGGAAGCTTTCCAAAGGGAAAGGACGAAGGACTATGACGGAAAATTGGGATGTATAACCTATACATCCTATAACCTAGATATCTTCGAATACATCATGGGTGTTTTTCTATGCTTATGCATACAGAAATATATACTGCGTGTTTGGTAAAGCAGAGGGCCAATGAAAATGAGGGAAACCTTTCATGAGTTGGATTGACACAAAAGTCCCAACAATGGACTCAAACATACCAATCATCATGAAGACGGTACAGGACCAGCCAATGTTTCATTCTGTTGTACATAAGGCCACTGAAGTCGGAGTCAACTCACCAAAGACAACTAACAACTAACAACAAAACAAGAGACCACGCTTAATGTAATTTTTTTCCTTCATTTACCAATTTTCTCAGACATCTTTTATATTGCTAAATATAGGTCTATTGTGTCATTTTTCAAGGAACACGATATGAATGGTCATATGGGTTTTTTGGGGGGCCTATTAAACAATGTCACAATAAGCATTCTTCAACTGTAGTACATTTTTGTCTGACTAATTTCTAGAATAAATTCCTATAAACAGCATTGCTAGGTCAAAGTAAATAGAGTTTACATCTGGTGCATACTGCCAACTGCTCAGGTGGCCACTTTGTAATCTCATTCCTAGAAAAGTACATTCTGGCTTATATAGTTCTACCTTGATACCTTTAGAGAGACAATTTGGACCCAAACTGAATTTTGAATTATTTAAAATTCCATAGAATTAGTTTTCCTTCTCCCAAGTTGACGCCCTAATTGTGACACTGTACCTCAATTTTAACTTGAAATGTTTGATAAGTTTCTATTTCTGTCATTTAGGGGAGCAGAAAGGAGTCCTGGTGGGGCAATGGTTAAGCGCTTTAACGGTTAACCATTAAAGGTCGGCAGTTGGAACACACCAGTGGCTCCACGGAAGAAAAGGCCTGGCGATCCGCTCCTACAAAGATTTCAGCCTAGCAAGAGTTATGTGGCAGTTCTACTCTGTCCTATAGGGCCCCTATGAGTCGGAATCAACCTGATGGCATACAACAACAACAACAGATCATTAAGAGCACAGGCCTCACTACCCAAATAGGACTGTTATCTTTCAAGGTCTCTAGAGTGACTTGGCCTCCATCTGAAAGATCGAAGGTTTGGTTCTGACTTAATCTCATTTTTTATTCTGTGCAACAAGACAGATGGAGGTCATCTGTTTAAAGTTGTTGAATCTAATATGTTGAAAATAGCTGAATAATTGGCAAAGCCCCGTCCATGGTTATAGATACACCACTCTCTGCAGCAGAAAGTGATGTGGCAAAGTCAGGGGATACATGAGAAAATTCTGGGTGAGCGTCAGCTCACCCCAGTATATAAACTGTTCAACCATCTATACCCACTTCCACTACACAGGTTCCAGATTCCTAGAGTATTTCTTAGTCTCCCTCGAAAAATGCATTGTGAAATCCCATATATCCAAGCGCCAGGCTTCTAAGAAGATGAAACATTTGAAATAGCTGTCATAGACCCATGCAATGAGCTTCTTGGGGAAACAAAGTCACCCGAAGACCATCATCTGGTCAACTGTGAAATGCAAAGAACAAACTCGTTCTTTTCTCTGCTTTCTCCTTTTTCATAACAGCAATCTGGGGCCATTTGGTGAAAGGTAAACCTGATTAGAAGCAGCCTTCCTGATACTTGGATTTTGGACTTCGGGCCTCCAGAACTGTGAGAGAATAAATTTTTGTTTTTTAAGCCATCAAGTTTGCCTTATTGGTGTAAGGGTAAACCTCCAACAACCTTGACAGATGCAGAGAATGTCAGAAATGGAAGAGTGCTCCAAGGTCCTCTACTCCAAGCCCTTCATTGTACAAGAGAGGAGATAAGAGTAAAGAAAGGTGAGAGGAACTGCCAAAGGTCATACTGGAAGCTGCTAGTGACTTAGAACCTGAATCCTCACCACCAGCAGGCATTTCTGCTCTCTGAGAGCAACACTGTCCAGGTGAGGTTCAGTGGGAGGCAGTGCTGTATGGTGCTTGGACCTCCAGCAGACTTGGGTGTGGGCCCAGCTCTGTGGCCCTGGGCCCCTTACTCAACTGCTCTAAGCCCAAGTTTCCTTATCCATGGAAAGGGTACAGTCATAACTAGCAATAGCTACCTATTATTAAAATTGAGGCCCCTAGGTATTGAAAACTGTTTGTGCTTGACTGCCAATAGAAAGGTTGGTGGTTCAAACCTACCCAGAGGTACCACAAAAGAAAAAGCCTGGTGATCTGCTTCCATTAAGGATTACAGCCAAGAAACCTCTGTGGAACAGTTCTACTCTGTAATACAGAGGGTTCCCAAGAGTCAGAATCAACTCAAAGGCAACTAACAACATTATTAAAATTGATGCTGCCAAAACTCGGAAAAAAACATTAATGCCTAATAGACTACAGTAGCAAATGCTGTTTTGTTCCATTGACTCTCTTAGAGATGAAAAATCCTCTTCCACTGTAGAGGTGATAAAGTCAGAAGAAAAACATCAGGTCAATATATGTTTGTAACTCATTCTAAACACCTGGTTATTCATGACTATACTGGCCAGAACTCAGCAGCACTAAAATTAATTAGAATCACAAGGCTTCCAATCTTGCCAGGAGACAATGACATACATTTTAAAAGAAATCATTGTTTGCTTTACTTGAACATTAATAATCACTGGAGTTAAGCTCTAAAACAGTACTTCTCAAACTATCTGTCATGAGGAACCAGTTTTTCCTTTTTCTTTTTAATCTTCCAATCCACTGCAGACTGATACTTTTAAAAAATGCATTATGAAATGAATTAGTAGAAAAGCAAAACAAGAACAACATTGACCAAAACAAACAAACAAACAAACAAACAAACAAAAAACCTACGTTTTTTATAAGGATCACACTGTCGAATCGATGAAAACATTTCCAAATGCTTAGGCTCAGTTTCTGTACTTATCACATCTTGGATCAGTAATAGTTTGGACTAGCACCAGTCAGCAGACCACACTTGAAAATAGTTATTACTGTCAGCTCTTTAAGGCCTTCCAGTGTACTAGACACAAGCTGCATGCTCCAAGTATCCATTCACTTACTCCTCACAACAGCCAGGGGGGAGGCAGGAATTGTCATCACTCACCTCTTACACATATGGAAAGTGGGGTTCAGAAAGGTTGGGTCATTTGCCCAAGATCACACAGCAAAGGAAGTGGCAGAGCTGGGAGTCAAACCTGGGCCTATGTATCTGAAGTCTGTGCTCTACACTCTATATTGTCTCCCTAATCCAAACCCATTGCCATCGAATTGATTCCGACACATAGCAAGCCTACAGGACACAGTGGAACTGCCCCATATCCAAGGCTGTAATTTTTATGAAGCAGACTGCCACATCTTTCTCCACAGAGTGGCTGGGGGGTTTGAACCACTGACCTTTCAGTTAATAATCAAGTGCTTAACAGAGCAATGGTTAAGCACTTGGCTGCTAGCCGCAAGGTTGGTGGTTTGAATCCACCAGCTGTTCCATGGAAGAAAAGACCTCGTGATCTGTTCCCATAAAGATTTCAGCCTAGGAGATTCTATGGGGCAGTCCTACGCTGTCCTACAGGGTCACTAAAATCAGCTTCAACTCGACGGCACACAACAACAGCAACAGCAACAAAGTACACGAAGAGAATCCACATAATTAGTTTTAAATTTCCTGTTTAACTCAGGGTATATCATCATACCATTATCCAGTTTATAGGCAACTAAGCCCTTGGGTTTTCTTCTGCCTCCTTCTTGTTTCCTGGTCTTCTGAGCATTTAATTTTCTATTAGGAACCATGAAAGGTGATAAAACTCACATCAGTTAAGATGTTTGGAAATAACTTAGGTAAATAACTTAGGTAAAAAGGAGAAGACAGCCACTAGAATTAGACCTTAAAATTTTTGTGAAATCTTAAATTTTTTTATTCCATGCTTCTCCCCATAATCACTGAGGGATGAGGTTGGCTGGATTGATTCCCAATAAAACTTACCTTGTCCAACAGCTGAATGCATTTTTTCCATGTCGAATTTAATTTTTGATCTTCCTGGAGTGCTTAGCATCTTTTCCCACACTGTAGTTACTTCTTTAAGACAAGGAGTGATTTCTTCATAATCAAGCTTCAGACGCTTGTTCAGCAAATCATTTTCAGAGGCTGGAAACAGAACATTTAGGCGCTAGTTACTAAACACTATGTGTCTTTAACTACCTGACATCGCTGCCTAACTTATCTTTACTGAGACGTCCAGCAGTTACAGCCAGCTAATGTCCAAATTAAAATCACTGTTCCCACCTCACCCTATTTGGTCCCCCAATTTTTCTTATCTTGGAAAATATGAAAAACTTAGAAGTCATCCTTGATTTCTCCTATTCCTCCACCCCCAATATGTCCTGTTGGCTCTACTGCTAAAATATATCCCATATCGGCTCAACTCTTTCCATCTCCTATGCTACCCATTTAAGCCATAAACATCTCAAGAGCAGGAGCTATATGTTAAAATTCCTGATGCCTGGCATGGTCAGAGCACAAAATTTCTTCATATAAACAAGGAGAGGCTCTCTGAGGGTAAGTTCTTTTTATTTACAGTCACAGGTAACTTCTACCCATCGGTTCTATTTCTGCTTCCTAGAGTTAACAGAATAAATCTACTCTTTTCATACGATATCTCCTCAAACATAGAAAGATAGCTATTGTTTCCCACCAGCTCTTACTCACCCTAAGGCTGCATTAAGAAGAATTCTACCTAAATTACCAAACAGGAAAAAAATCAGTAAAGGAAAATTTTAATTGACAAGTCTAAGAAAGATTAAACCTACAACATCACTCCCACTTCACAACCACTAAATCCTACTTAGGATCGCTCTAATAGGGATCACAACAGAGAGTCCCAGAAAGAGCAAGAGAAAAACGTAAAACAGAATTCAAATTCACGAAAAAAAGATCAGACTTACTGGTCTGACAGAGACTGGAGGAACCCTCAAGACTATGGCCCCCGGACACCCTGCTAACCTAGAACTGAAACCATTCCCGAAGCCCACTTTTCAGACAAAGATTAGATAGGCCTATAAAACAAAAAATAACACATGTGAGGAACGTGCTTCTTAGCTCAATCAAATATTCAAGACCAAATGGGCAACTCCTGTCCAAAAGCAAGATGAGAAGGCAGGAAGGGACAGGAACTGGATGAATGGACACAAGGAACCCGGGGTAGAAAGGGGCAGTGCGCTATCACATTGTGGGAATTGTAACCAATGTCACAAAACAATATGCGTATAAATTTGAGTGAGAAATTAACTTGAGCTGTAAACTTTCACCTAAAGCACAACAAAATTAAAAATATATAAATAAATCCTACTTGGGCAGAGCGGCCATATTGTCAGTCCTCAAATCCAATACACATCACAATTCAGATATGAACTGTGTATTTATTAGGCAAACAGATATGGTACATAGCTACTTATAAGCTAATATACAGACTTTTGCAGAGCTGATAAACTGGTCTTCTTTATCCTAACAATAAAACAAATAAATACTTGGTACATGTGTGTCATAAGCGCTTTATGCTTAGTAACATTTACTCCTAACAACATTTGAGGCAGTGTTTCTGGATGAGAAGACTGAGGAACTGGGAGGCCACGTAGCTTCACCAAGGACCCAGGGAAGAGATAGCAGAGACGGGACTGGAATCCAGGCATCCACTGCAGAGTGGGAGCCCTTCTCCACCACACTGCAGTGCATGGTGTTGTTAACCAAACGCTTTTTTTCAGGGACGAGGCATGCATGAGGTTCAGTGGTAGAATTCTCACCTTCCATACGGGAGACCCAGGTTTGATTCTCGGCCAATACACCTCAAGTGCAGCCACCACCCCTCTGTTACTGGAGGCTTGAGTGTTGCTATGATGCTGAACGGGTTTCAGCAGAACTTCCAGACTAAGATGAACTAGGAAGAAAGGCCTGGAGATCTACTTCTGAAAATCAGCCAGTGAAAACCCTATGGATCACAGCTATCTGATCTGCAACTGACCAGCGGGATGGCGCAGGACCAGGCAGCCTTTCATTCTGTTGTACACAGGGTCGCCATGAGTCGGGGGCCCAATCAACTGTAAATAACAACAACAAAAGGTATGTATCAATTAACCTGCTGCCATCGAGTCGATTTCGACTCATAGTGATCTGACAGGACAGAGTAAAACTGCCCCATAGGGTTTCCAAGAAGTGGCTGGTAGATTCAAACTGTCAGCCTTTTGGTTAGCAGCCGAATGCTTAACCACTACGCCACCAGAGCCCCATGGCTCAACCAAAGGCCTTAAATGTTTGATAAAATCCAATGAAGCTACTTTTACCTATAGTTTTCTTCGTGTGAAGGTTTTTCAATACAAACTTGATCTCTTTAACAGATAAGGGCTATTCAGATTTTTTTCCTCTCATTTCAGTTTTGATAAGTTGTGTCTTTCAAGAAGTTTGCCCATTTCACATGCCTGCAACAAGCATCAGGTCTCCAAGACAAGACATTTAGATACAGGACCACACTATTTAAAATATTAAATAACAGTCCACAAACCCCTGTTGTTTGTGGGGCTAGGGGAAAGCCAGGACTAAATAAGATCAAATGTAATTTTGCAAAAGACTCATTTGAAACATTACCATTTAACTCATTGCCATCGAGTTGATTCTGACTCAAAGTGACCCTATAGGACAGAGGAGAACTGCCCCATAGCATTTCCGAGGCTGTAGTCTTTACGGAAGCAGACTGCCACATCTTCCTCCCATGGAGCAGCGTGGTTAAGTGCTCAGCTGCTAACCAAAAGGTCGGTGGTTCAAACCCACTGGCCACTCCGTGACAGAAAGATGTTGTGGTTTGCTTCCATAAAGCCTTGGAAACTCATATGCATTTATATGGGGCAGTTCTACTCTGTCCTATAAGGCTGCTATGAGTTGGAACTGACTCAATGGCAATGGGCATTACCATTTAACATGGATGTATAAACTAACTTGGATTTTGTGACTAAGGCTCAGGTCTGATTTATGCCCACTATTTGAGTGGGCTGCCGCTGCCCTATCCTTAATTCTGCTCCATTAGCAACTGCTTTCACAGACGAGATTCTCTTGCCAACTGCCACCGTCTCTTGAATACTTAGAAAGGCTAAGAGGCTGGTAAGCTCAGCAAGTAATGATCCCAAACTCGTAGATGCTTTAGAAAAACTGTACTCAATATTTAATTGTTTTTATAGTAAACACAATTTGTTTAATTAGGAAAAAAACTTTGAAAGACCAGACTTAATTGTTTGAGACTGGAGGAACCCCAGAAAGCATGGCCCCCGGATTCTCTGTCAACAAGAACTAAAACAATTCCCAAGGCCAAGTCTTCAGACAAAGATTGGACTGGACTATGGGACATAAAATGATACTCATGAAGAGTGTGTTTCTTAGGTCAAGTAGATACATGGAGCTAAATGGGCAGCTTCTGTCCAGAGGTGAGATGAGAAGGCAGAGAAGGTCAAGAGCTGGTTGAATGCACACGGGAAATCAGGGGTGGAAAGGAGGAATGTGCTGTCACAATATAGGGAGAGCAATTAGGGTCACATAACAATGTATGTATAAATTTTTGTATGAGAGACTAACCTGAATTGTAAACTTTCACTTAAACTACAACAATAAAAAAAAAAAAAGAAAAAAAACTTTGAAATTAAAATGCCTGCAAGTACAATTCAAAATTTAATGTGCTATCACATCACCGTGCAGATGTAATATCTGTAACCTCTTAATCTTAGTTGAGCATGAAATGCTGAGTTATATGAACCAGTTCAAGCAATGGCATGTTGACCAAAAACCACAGTTACATTATATTAGATCATCCTCTGCTGTCCTACATTAAGTTGCTCTATCTTCACTTAATAACAGGGGGGAAGTAGCTTTGCAGAGGGGTATAGAGGAAGGACTGTTGGCTTGGGAGGGAGGTGGTACATTTTAGTCCCAATGCAACTGAAAATTAGCTGGTTAACTTTGGGGAAATCATGACTTCTGCTTCCAACCATCTACAGTGGAGTGGGGTAGATTTAGATAATGTGGTTTGATTCTTTCCAGGATGCAATGCTTCCAGAATAATAATAAATAGGCATTCCTTATATTCAAAAGCCAGGAAATTGGCTTAACCATAGGAACCACCTCCCCTTTCATGTTCCTCTAATTTCTTTCCCAAAAAGGTACAAGTCAGCTTGAAGGCTCCATAAATTTCAAGAGCCACACCCAGTTGCAATGTAATCTTCCTTTAAGAATTAAAAAAAAAAAAAAAGCAACAGAATGACTGTCTCTCTAGTACATAGAAAACTCCCTGGTTAGTTCTTGTCAAATCTTGTTTCTGTATTTAATGAGAAAGTTCCACACCTACATCCAAACAAAACTGCCTAAATATTTTTAGGCAATTCATGATTAGGCTCTTATTGTTGATTATTTTTCTCAGGTAATCCAAGTACTGTATACCCTGATACAATGAACTGATGCTTCATATATTCAGCAAGTTTGTTCTGCTTCCACCACAAAGATAAGCATACATTGACCTTTATGGAACTATGAAGAGAAATGAATTCCAAAAGGAAAATAAAAGACTACACAGAATTTAATACTGCCAGTAAGCCAGATGAAATGAAAAAGCAGTAGAAAGACGCTAGCAAGGGCCAGTGAACTTAATGCAACTTAATGCAACACCAGGTAACCTTAGGAAACATTTTTGTTCACTCTAGTCTGTCCAGCCATCATTTACACTGCAGTATGTGCTTTGCTTTGTAGCATACTGACATCACCTAATCAATTACAGTCACGATTCCTTCCAACATTCCTAGAAGCTGGCCAGAGGCATTCCAATTTTACAGCTACACCCTGATTTTACACGGCTGTCATTTGCAAAAAGATTGGCTAGGATAAGCATTAAGGTTTGTGACCTACATGATGAACATAAATGCCTTTTTACTTTTCAACAAAAATCCCAACACATACATGAATGTAAGTGCTGTGTCCCAAAACTGTCACTTAGCTGATGACATGCTCACTGATGCCATCACCATCAAACTCCTTTTAGACTCTGAATTTGACTTACTTTTTGGCACGCACCAGAAGATGGTAGAAGAAGAGTGGGAATAAAACTCCTCTCACTGTGACATCACCTTGCAGAGTATCCCCACATTCATAAGCAGCCTGTTCCAACTGTTGGACTACTTTCATATCAGAAGGGTCTTATTACTTTATGTTTCACGTCTTATTATTGGTCAAAAAACAGAGACTCATTTTGACTGTGAACTTTACTCATCAAATTTGGTGTCTTAAGGAAGTTTATCGTTTTATTTTCAATTCATTATTTCATTTTTGTTAATGACAAACATCAAGATCATTATCAAAAGATGAACATTTGCAACCATGGAGGGTGTTCAATTAAACACCCTAATTTCAAAATGGTCTGGGCAATGGCACCATGAGTGAACTACCTGCATAGTTTCCTTTGAAAGAGTAAGTTCAAACCTCCCCAACAAAAATCCTCATTGTTTCATATCCAGGCAGCTCTCTGCACTCCAATGCCAATGCGCTTTCCCATTACATCACACAGGGCACATAAGCTAAGTTTCTTAGCTATTCTGAAAATAGTATTTATTTATCAGCTCAAGTGACAGTACGGAAACAGGAAATTAACAAAGTCTAAAGTTTGAAAATTCATGTCTTGTTTTGATACTCTCAGTAACAGAACAGGCAGAGTTCAGCCAATGCTCAAGTTTATCCCCCTTTTGCCAGGTTAGCGACTCGCTAAAAATGTACACAGCAAGGTGTATCAACTTTAATGATTTAGGCAGGATCGGCTCACACCTAACACTCAGGTGTAGACTATGGCTGAGGACAAAGTAGGAAGAGAGAGAGAACAGTTTTCAGAGGGTTAGAGTTTAAATTTGAAGGTTGTATCTTAGAACTTCCAGACACTATGCCAATAATGACCATATGGGAATAATCAATATAGTTGTGTGACTATCATTACATCTCCAGAAAATAGTTAATTTACTTTTGAAAAAGTAAACAGGTTTACAGAAAAAGTAAAACATATATGTACATATATGTGCATGTAGTAGGCCATGTTGCCCTTTTTTAAGATACCATGCTTATGTCTGATTTGATTCACTTCACAGCAAAGACAAATTAAGATCGTCAGGCATGTTCAGTATCAAAAATGGCAAACCAACCTTGTAGCTTCTGATTCTCCTTCTCCATTCTGAGGAGCAGTATCTGTTGTAGAATAGCCTTCTGCCATAGCTCTCGAAGCTCGCGAGATGTCCTTTTCTTTTCCTCTGGTACAGGGCCAGCGGACCCATCTTCACAAACTGGTTCTAAAGGAGACCGTGGGGGGAGTTCTCCCAGATCTGGGTAATCTGGACAGGGAAAACAACATTTCAGAATGTCATTTTTTCAATCAAGATTTATACTCAAACATGGTGCCAAATTAGCAAACTCTGCTCGTTTAGGTATCATGATACCAACAACTTTAAAAAATTTTTTAATACATAGGAATCAATTATGTTTGAGCCACAAACACGAAACTTACATCAGATAGTAAGCACAAGTTACGGTATCTCAGAAAATATTCAAAGATACCTACCGTTTAAGATGTAATGTTTTTATCTTTAACTCAGTTAAAAACCCTATTGCAGATTTGTTATCAGGAGGGACCAGTCCCTAGAGAAGGACATCATGCTTGGTAACACAGAGGGTCAGTGAAAAAGAGGAAGACCCTCACTGAGATGGACTCACACAGGGGCTGCGACGATGGGCTCAAACATAGCAAGGATTGTGAGGATGGCGCAGACTGAGCAGTGTTTTGTTCTGTTGTACGTAGGGTCGCTATGAATCAGAATCAACTCGACAGCATCTAACAATGACAACAACAATAGCAAATATTCATATATATAAGCGTTTGGCTGCTAACCAAAAGGTTGGCAGTTCGAACCCACCAGCTGCTCCTTGGAAACCCTTATGGGGCAGTTTTACTCTGTCCTATAGGGTTGCTGTGAGTCGGAATTGACTGGATGGCAATGGGTAGGGATCAGTCTCTTCGAAGGGCTTTGTATTTAATAACTTATTTAACACTCACAACCATCTTATGACGTGGGTACTGTAACTATTCACAGTTTAAGTAAAAACAAACTGAGACAAAGGGAGCTTAAGTAACTTGCCCAATGTCACACAGCTAGAAAGTAGTAGAGCCGAGACTAGAACCCACGTGGTCTGGCTTTCATGTGCATTCTTAACCACTGAGTTATATGGCTTGTTGTTGTTAGCTGCTGTCAAGTCAGGCCCCAACTCATGCAATCCCATGCACAAAAGAACTAAATACCATCCAGTCTTGTGCCATGCCCATGACTGGTTATGGATTGGACCATTGTGATCCAACGGTTTTCACTGGCTGATTTTGGAAGTAGATCACCAGGCCTTTCTTCCTAGTCTGTCTTGGTCTGGAAGATTTGCTGATACCTGTTGGCATCACAGCAACATGCAAACCTCCACCAATAGACAAGTGGTTGCTGCTCATGAGGTGCACTGGCCAGGAATCAATCCCGGGTCTCCTGCAATGAAGGTGAGATTTCTACTGCTGAGTTATATGGTTAGATATTTTGAAAGATGATGAAAATATATTCAATAGCCAGTAGTAACAGTGACCATTAACCAGGGCTTTGAACTGGTTCATTCCAGTTCAAACCCCTGCTGAGAATTTGTATTTCTAAGACGTTCTCTATGAAAATTTGCATTTCCACCCCAGATACACTGAATTAGAATCTACAGTTTAACAAAATACCCAGGTGATTCTTTTGTGTAACTTCCTGGGAACTTGTCAGAAATGTGAATTCTCAGCAGGGTTTCAAACCTGAGGAACTGGTTCAAAGCCCTGCCATTAACTACTCTCTATCACGTGCTGGGCATTGTGCCAGGTATTTTATATAGACAGACTCATTTAATTCTTAGGACAACCCCAGAAAGCAAGCATCAGCTGTCTATTGAGGAAACTGGGGCTCAGAGAGGTCAGGTAACTTGCTCAGGGTCGTAGAGTAAGTTGGTGAGGTGGAATTGCAACCTATCTCTGCCTGACTTGGAAGGTCATTCGCTTTCTGGATACTACTGCAATTCAAATGCTTCCTATTTCATCAACTTTTAAAATTCTATTTACTAGTTTAAATCTCCTTACATTTCATGATATATGTACCTTTTTCAACTGCAGAAAGTATGTTACTGGTATACAGCACTGCTGTAACTCACAAATATTTTTCAGATGCACACAGAGAACATCCCACCTGCTGACCATGCAACTAGCTATGAAGAGCAGCAGAGGTTCCTGTGCAAACAGACATCATATGTATGACACGTGCATCCTTGAGAACGTGTGTCTAAAGAGAACCTTTGTGAATAAAATCCTCATCTTAATGTATGCACCCTTACTGTATGTACACTTCACAGGCAATTTGAGCCTCATAACCACCCGTAATACAATTCAGTTTTTATACAGAATGTTTTCTAACCATGCTCAACGATCTCTTCAGTTGATAGCTCCAATTCAGTTCCATGTTATGATTAATTTGCATACCACTCATCAGCATTGATTGCTCACTCTCTAAAGCTGGGTTTGACTCCCTGCTATGAAATCTAGGAAACCAAACACAAACTACAAAACAATTTCCTAAAATAACTTGTCCATCTTAACGTCTAAGATTATTGAATTAAAACTTTTTATAAGCAATTATGTAAGAATGCTTTGAGATCTCTGTAAGCATTTAAATGCTTATCATCATATCTCTTGTGTATACTTACTTCTTATGAACCTACTAAAGAAATGAATACATTAAAATTCTACTTCTTTTGGGGAGAAGTAAGAAATAAGTAGGCAGTTTACGCACATTTTAGGAGAATGCTTACATATAATGTTAAGTAAAAAATCATGAATCAAATGTCTATATAATAAGATCAATTTTATAAATATTATAAGAGGCAGTATAATATAGTGAGTAATAGGGCAATCTATGAAGCCAAGCTGCCTAGACTATAAATCAAGATTCTGTCATTCACTGATTTTGTGATCATCAGCCAAGTTGCTTAATCTCTCTCTGCCTCAGTTTCCCAATTTGTCAAGTGGAAATAACAGTACATCCCTCATAGTGGTGTTAAAAGAATTTAGTTAATATATAATATATATGACTAAAAAAAAAAAAACCTAGAACAAGGCCTTTCACACGGTAAGAACACAATATTAGTTCTTAATGTCTGCTATTATATATTCACAAAGGGGCACTGAAAAAAATACTAGGAAGGAAATACATCAACATTTTAGCCACTCAACTGTAAGCTCTAAGAAGGTAAGAACCTTGCCACACTGTCAACCAGGGTTTCCCCAGCACTAAGCACGTTTCCTGGCCCCAGCAGATGCTTGATAAATAATTGTTGAATAAAAGAATAGGTAAACAGGTTCCAGAGGTGCTATTGTTCTTAATATTTCCTATATTTTCTAAATTCTAGACTATGAACATTCCTGTAATTAAAAAAAAATTATTAAAGATAAATAATACAAATCTATTCTGAAAAATGTTCTCTGTTAAGGTCGGCAAATACACCTAATAGTTTACAGCAGGGGTTTCTCAACCTCAACACTATTGACATTTTGGGTAGCATACTTCTTCATTGTGGGGGGCTTCCCTGTGCACTGCAGGATGTTCAGCAACATCTCTGATCTCTACCCACTAGATAGAGTAGCATGTGCCAACCCTAGCCATGACAATCAAAAATGACTCCATTGCTAAATGTCTCATGGGTGAGTGCAGGGAGGGGGAATCATCACCTGTTGAGGACCACCGAGTCAGAGTAAAAAAACTTACCACTTGTTTCTCTCTTCAGCCCTCAAACCTGTTGCTGTCTAGTCAATTCTATACAGTAGAACTGCTCCTTAGGGTTTTCTTCGCTGTAATCAATCTTTTTTTTTAATTGTGCTTTAGATGAAGGTTTACAGAGCAAATTAGTTTCTCATTAAACAATATACATATTGCTTTAATTGGCTGTCATCTTTACAGAAGCAGATTGCCAGGCCTTTCCTCTATGGCACCACTGGGTAGGTTTGAACCGCCAACTTATAGGTTAGTGGGCGAGCGCAAACCGTGTGCATCACCCAGAGACCTTTCCTAAACCCTGGAAAGGAGTAAAAATATAACTCCTTTGCCCACATTTATTTTGTGCAGTAACAATTACTGATTTTACAGTTTTCAATTAACAAAAAATTTATAAAAAATACTTTTGTCCATATTAAGAGTAGCCTAGTTGCACAGTAGTTTACAAAAGGGGGCTAGTTAAAATATTTGTTTTGTATTTTGCTAGCTGGGTCAGTCCAAGGAAGTTATTTTCTAACCAATACAAAAAGATCCAGATTCAGGACAAGTCTACAGTTTTGTAATCAGTCCTCTTTCATGTGTGTGCATATGTAAATGTTGTGGGGGCTGGGGGGCAGTTTTCTGCGGGGTTATTGACACATACAGGGGGTTGGGTGGAGTGGCAGGGCGAGGGTGAGAAGATGAAAATATCGGACAACTGTTAGTTGACGACCTTGCTCTAATAATAAGTATGTGCGTTATTTTAACTTGGATAATTCCCAAGCCAATCACACCAGCGTTTATTGAGACTCCCATACACACCCAGCAACGTGCTAGGCACTCCAAGAAGGGCTACTCTGATGTTCCTATTATTCTCCAGAACAGTCCTAGGGCTCTGGCTTCTTTCCTCGACTTGTACTCCTGCCGAGAGACTGTGTCACAAAGGCCAATGCTGAAAAGTATGAATCAGTACAGCAGAGACTGAGCCGGGGTTGGGGGCCACTCCACCCCCCCAGGCCAGTGGTGACAATGCCTCTTTGTAAACACATGCAGCTTTTGGGTTCCAGTCCCTCAGTGCAAAATATGAGAGATGATATTTACCTCCGAGTGCACCAAACGGTGAGACTACAGGCACTGGCAGACATAAAGTCTGCAAAGCCATAAAACCAAAGGGTTCTGATAGCATGTTAGTCTAGGATTAGATTTTATTATTCTGACATATCCTAGAATGACAGGATGTAGAACGCTTAAATTTAATTATGTAGACCTTCAGAAACAACAACCTGCAACGGGCTAATTGGATTTTAAAACCAGTCATAATGCAGGGGCCCTAAGAGACAATTGCCTCCATTTAAATCACTACTGTGAAATTCCCAATCGAGTCGTAAATATGATCTATGCTGCGGTGTCAGTATTTCAGAGGCCAGATTATTCTCCATCAACTCTGTACTGCTGCGTTCTTCTTTCTCCCTGTACATTTACTTATATGCAGGGAAGAGTCTGATGTTGCATCACTGGTGTGAAGAGAA